AAAGCGGAATTCTGCCCAATCTGTGATCTTTATTTTCTTATTAACAAGAATCAGATCCATGATTTTGTTCGCAAAGTCAGGTATTAATGCCTTGACTGTGTCTGACGGGGGCTTATATGGATTCAGACAGTTATCGTCTGATTGATCCGTTAATGGATCTATGTTAGCTGGTAGACCAGATACGGTTATACCTAGTTAGCAAATCGCTCATTCCGACTATAATGTCGTACTTCTGTGACATCTTAGCTATCACAGCTTGAGTAGTGATACTCCTATCATCGGCCAGGGAGATTTTAACATCTGTGGCCATGATATCACACTTAGCATTTTTTTCATCAGCTAAAATGAGATGGGTTGTTTGTGTTCTTCTTTCGATATCTTTCATTAATGCAAAGCGATCGGATATACATGAAATTTCTGAACCAAGATCAATCAATGCAAGGATTTTATTTCCATTGCAATATACAGGAATAATTACACGCTCATCTAAAGAGTCATCGTATTGTCTGTGTAACGATTGTACCTAGTAGTACCGTCACTCCAACTTAATGTTGGGCTTTCTGTCACAAGACTTAGTGTGATAGCCATTGGTCTTCTCACACTTGTCACACTTAGTAAGAAAGTGTGTACAGGTGGATGCATGTCTACCATTCCAATAACCGTTAGGGGTTAACTGGTACATGTCATATCCACACTGTGCGTCGGCACAATTCTTAACCTCCTTAAATGGAGGTTCCATGTCCTTCGCTCCTGCGCGTTTTAGGCGTTGTGAAAGTGGATTCGCGAGCACGTGTATGTTGGGATCTCTCGTTTGAGGTCTGCCTGGATACGTACCCGTGATCGGTGAGCTCCCGCGGCTTCTTAACAGCCGCTTTTCCCTTCGAAGTTACTCGATGTGCAGGGAAAAGGGTGAATACAGTATCATAAAACTGTTCCCACGTAAGTCGGGATAAATAAAACTTTGCTTCATGTCCCTTGTCTCGAGCCTCAGTCGCGTGTTTACGGCGCAGCTCGGTGTACAGGCTCTCACGGTCGATATTTCCTATGTTCTCACAGAACACGTGCATAACCAGGAATTCGTACCATTGCTGTGCCTTGTCCTTTGTTATATCGGGGCGTTGCAGGTCGGCGTCTAACTTCAGAATATAACTCTGAATGGGCATGTTCTCAGCTGGTTCATTTAAAATTGAACTCAGCCCAGGGCTACGCATGTCCTTACTTAACAAGGACGTAACCAACCAACACACAGCTGGCCAGTTACGACAAGTGTCTAGCTCATGCTGGTGTTGCTGCAGGATCAGATAACTGGTTCCTGTAGGGTCAAATGTCTGCATTAAGGCAGAGATCCATTGCTGGGGGGCGATATCATTCGTCTCCAGCATGACCGTAAACGAATTAAGCGTACGGGTTAGTGTGTCGAGGTCATGGTTGTTTATAAACTCGACCTGCTTGCTATTGGCATCCCAGTTCGACTTAAGTCGACTGATCTGTCCCTTGTACTTCTAGTTGTCCCTGTGGGTTTGTCCACGTTGGGCCTGAAGTAACTGGTCTATGCGCTTTTGCTTAATCGCAATAATATTCGCATAGTATGCTACGTCATCAGCATGATGCGCAGCATGGGCCACTTCCATTTTATTGGTATAGTCTTCGACCGATTTATTTAGCTCGGTCACCTCGTCAGAGTGGAAGTCCTCTGCGGGCTGGTGGAATGCCGTGCGATCGAAGCGATTAAACTCGACATCGTTCACACGCCTACGGGGGTGTTTATTACCCCTTGTAAAATCCACGGAAGAGGCCTCTCGGTGCTCTATTCCACGGATAGCGGTTGGTATTATCACCTTGGGTGATCCATGCGTCGGAATAACATACCCAGTCTTAACTGGTTTCCGACGATTATCCCCCTAATTGGGTACAAGTGGCGGAGTATATCTCCTTACCTCTGGATCTATAATACCTTCGAGGACAGGTGACTCACGGCCGGGTGTCAGAACAGGCGAGTAATTAGCCTGAACTTCTGGCGGTAATGCCTCGTACGGTATATCGACGCTGTGCACCTCTGGATCATATGCCTCAGGTGTCGAGCTTGAGTCTTTGGGAGCAATTGCCTGTCGACGTTCTGTCCACTTCTGTAGGGCTTCAGTAATGCCCGGGGAAACATGCTCGCGTAAGTGCTGTAGATGGTTTTCTGATCTAATTAATTGATCTACATGTTCGACAGTCAAGTCTTTCATAATAGTAGCTAACTGATTCTTAAGATCAGCATTTTCAGTAATTAACTTACTTATGCGCGTTGGCTTAGTAGTCTCGGACGTAGATTCGGGTTCGCTACTTGAGCTTCTCTCCTCTTCTGGTTCCATAATAGGTTCCTTCTGAGATTTGTCCTTGTCCCCTATAATTGGGGACGTCCTCATAATTGGGGACTTTCTTTTCTGATTTTCGTCAGAAGAATGGGTTGGGGCGTCTTGAGACGTATCCCTTGTCTCACGTTTTGGCTTTGTAGATGCAAGCTTTGACGTTTAGGCGATAGTTGGCCCTCGGGTTCTGTCAGAGGGAGTAGTCTCCTTAAGCAGAGTGGCTACATCCTTATCTGAAGCATTGTCCTTTTGACTATTATTGTCAGAGGCAAGTTCTCTGGTTACAGTGCGTTAAACGCATCAGCAGCGGCGGCGGTTGCTTCTGCAGCAGTAATAGCTGCGGCAGCGATAGCGGCTTCTCTCTCCATCTTCTTCTTTTCAGTTCTACGCTTCTTAGAAGGAGTGTTGTCTTTCTTGGTCATAATCTTAACTTATGACTACTAGCTTGTCTCTTAAGGACTAGCTTGGACAAGAGAAAAAAAAATGTTGTGGTAGTTAATCTACCTTTACGCTTAAGTAGTCTAAGTAATTAATACTTTTGCTAACTTTAAAATGTGTAAGATTCAGTCTAATAAAGGCGACACTAACGCCTAAGTATTGTGTAAATATCGATGTAAATAAACGAAATGAGACGTTTAATAAAGTTAAGTTTGCCTCGTGAAAACAGCAATACTCTGAGGGATTGTGAGGCTGAGACATTGCCTATATATAATCCTCTCAGTACTGTTTCCGCCGAAGGGATTTTATTTAGTGTTTCCTTGTCGCTCTATTAGAAACTATGGTATGTTTCGTTGGGGCGAATCTGAGAGACCCATAAAATCCTATCTTTAGAAAAAAATAAAGAAAAAAGAAAAAAATACTCTTGATGCCCTTAGTTATTGTATTAACCAATAACTTGCCACTTATCACGAATTACCGACTTAGCCTTCATCAGACTGGCACATCTGGTTGGCTGATCGGAGGATCAACTAGGTAACGTTAATAGTCCCTAGAAACCTATATTCGGTTGAGCCATTTCGCTACCGAAGTATTCAGATATAAATAAAGTTGGAAAGTAAATATAGTTCTATTAATAGAACTAGACCAACTCTTTATGTTTGGTATTTTACTGGGGCCTTTTAATTGCTTTGTCCAAATATCTGATATGTAAAATGGATAAGGTATTAATTAATAAAACCATTAAAAACCATTTAGGAAACTTAAGTTCCTTGTACTATTTAGAGTACGTTTTTAGTATACGTACTGCTTAAGAGTACGTTTATAACATAGTCTAATGTAGAGACCCGGCTATTACATCGGTTCAGATGTGCATATAGTGATAATTCCACCTTTTCAATGATTACTGACTTTTTCGTACAATGTTTTTCAAACGTCACAACCGAAGCACAAATACTTTTGCTACACACGCACAACCGATTCATCCACAGATACTATTTCTCTCAAGGTGCACCTCCACCAGACACTGCGTTCACTCGGACATCGATATTTTAGCTGCAACATTCTGTCCACAGTAGATACGTATGAGATTGTCGATATCGAAACCTCCAACACACAACGTACTCAATTCTGGGCAGAGTTGCAATATCAGTCTGTCGCGGGTATCCCACAACAGCTGGTAACACCACTGACATCACACTCGTTACGCAGAGGTTTTATGGCTAGCGCCTTGGCAATTAGCATGTCGCACCGCATTATCAGTGCCATTCTGGGTATTAAACAAGGATCTGTGAAATCCTACGTCAGGGCATTAATCCCTAGTCTACACGACAGCTTCTTCAACGGAGACAGATCTAGTGGTGGCTGGACGTGCAACAACATAAACGCAAGTCATCTGTTTCCTGTAATGACATCGATTTCTGTCATTCCAGTCACATGACTCCTCTGAACTTTTCTACCTCAAGAGTACAAAAGGGAAGAACATACAATACTTCGTCTCATCTGTGCTCCTCACATCCCACCCTTGCCATGTCCTGTTTTCATCAATTCACCTCACAAAGGCATGTATCAGCAGCAGTCGTCACTATTCGGCGTGGGTCGGTAGACCAGACAGACTTCGCTCGTACTTGCACACGACACTACGTCTACTCAATGTATATAGAACCAATACTCACTCCCAGCAATGCAAATAGCATTCTGCACAATAATCATTAATCCTGGATGTATAGATACAAACATAGAGTAGTTGGCGGTGCCAAGTGTGGATCCGTAGTCACATTGTCGTATCGAAATGTCTAGTAAAAACATAAAAAACAAACAAAACAACATTTTTATTTATTTAATAAATATATATTTTGACATATTTGACCTGCACGGTCAAGTGGTGTTTCTGTGCTTTTATTTAGGTCTCGTCATATTCACCCTTCTCACTTTCTCTCACAGTCATAGGCAAGGTCGCCGAGTTCCGAGCAGAAGCATGGCTATGTCCACCAAACTTCAGGAGTGTTGAGACTGAAGTAACTTCTGGAATTGGAGAGCCAAATTAACCTGGGTAAGCCTCGTAAGATTTATTATTCATTCGAGACTCGTGTAAATTGCTATAAACTTCTGAGCGTGAAATTGCGTACGTGTATGTGTACTTTTGCGTGTACGATTATGCAGTGTGCATTAAATATCTCTCTCTCATACACACACACACACACACACACACACACACACACACACACACACACACACACACACACACACACACACACACACACACACACACACAC